CAGACTTCTCTATTGCTCCAGTCAAGGGTTATATTTCACCGGGCATGGAGGTGTCGTTTGAGATCATTTTTCACCCCACTGTGGTCAATCATGACATCAGATATGAGGTAAATGGCTTATTAGAATCAATTGGTGATCAGCTCGTTGTTTCTTTTCGAGTGTTACTTTTTGAAGGGCGATAATTTTCAGCCCTTGTATCTTTACTTTTCTGGGGTAAAGTTTGGTAACTACAACCCTTTTCCTGACCTAATAGTACAGCCAGTCAAAGCTATCAGTGTAAGCTTGTTTCGCAGTGCCTGTTCAATCCTGTTTCCAGGCTTAAACTAAAGTAAAACAGGCTAACTATGAAGTACTGTATGTACTATTTTCTTGACGATCAAAAGCGGTTATTTTGTAGTAATTTGAGAAGAAAGTTAACCCAAAGGAAATGAAATTTAGCAAATGTGGCATTTTTTGTGGAATAACCTTGTTAGGTCGAACGCCCGAGGTCGTCCACGCAAAGTTGTTGTTGTTTTTGTTGTTAACGCAGTGTTTTTTTGCGTGACAGAATCTCCGTTGCACTATTGAAGGAGGCAAACCTCTCAAGTTGGTTCTCACAGGCAGCTGTATTCCTCAAACCCCCCTCAAAGAGGTAAAAACACCAAACACATTACATCTGATCTGATAATATTTCAATAATTCTGTTCGTCTCACTGTCGAGTATTTTGTAGTGAATGAACCACTACATTTTCGCCTACCTTAGCTTGCCATAACGACTCCTACGTGAAAATTATTGACCCTTATGAAAATGCAAGCTATATTATTGTACAAACCAGTGATCGAGATCGAACTGCCTTAATATTACTTTAAGATCACCTATTAAAATATTCATTTCTTTCACGGATGCTTATTAGTAGGCTTATTTGGCTAAACGTGCCTTTAATTATGGTACGTTTAATCTTATTTTGATAATTACTTCTGATCAAGGAGAGTCACCGAGTTTCCATTTATGTGCCTTGTTGTAGGTTCTTCACTTTGCTACGCATGTCCGTACACGTGACACGCGCAATCTTGTGATCCATAACCGGACAAACCAGTTGTGGATGCTGCGGCCCGTGATAGATGGCGAGTACTGGTCTGGCCCAGACAGCATCACAGTGGAGCCACAACAGAGCAAGAACTACGAGCTGACCTACCGACCGCTGACCATGACCCAGGAGGGAAAGAAACACACGGTATGTAGACTGACGCATTTTTTGTTTGACTTGGTGAATCAGTACCCTCATGAGTTCCTCTAAGACTCTAGTAAGCCCCTTGTGTCATAGCAAATTGTTATGTTAAAAGGTAATGATCGAATAGCACAAAATTATACCGGGTATAAAGAAAGGGGCTTGGCGGTGATCTTGACTTAGATTCGCGCTGGTTCCTTTATTTTTTGTGAGTTACACCATAAGTGTAAATTACTATTTTGCNCCTTGTTATAGGTTCTTCACTTTGCCACGCATGTCCGTACACGTGACACGCGCAATCTTGTGATCCATAACCGGACAAACCAGTTGTGGATGCTGCGGCCCGTGATAGATGGCGAGTACTGGTCTGGCCCAGACAGCATCACAGTGGAGCCGCAACAGAGCAAGAACTACGAGCTGACCTACCGACCCCTGACCATGACCCAGGAGGGAAAGAAACACACGGTATGTAGACTGACGTATTTTTTGTTTGATTTGGTGAATCACTACCCTCATGAGTTCCTCTAAGACTCTAGTAGGCCCCTTGTGATATAGCAAATTGTTATGTTAGAAGGTAATGATCGAATAGCACAAAATTATACCGGGTATAAAGAAAGGGGCTTGGCGGTGATCTTGACTTAGATTCGCGCTGGTTCCTTTATTTTTTGTGAGTTACACCATAAGTGTAAATTACTATTTTGCGTCGATGTTTTCCCTGATGAATGTAGTTGTAACAAATACGAAGGTATAGATCTGGTTTCGTTTCCTGTACAGATATTTCTTTCTTCCACTTACAACTCCGAAAGGGATAAATGTTCCATGAGTTTTGAATGAAAGCTTGAGGCCGTTGCAGTGATAGCTTAATAGCCTGCGTTTCAGACGAAATGTACCCCATATATACCGGCCTTAACGTGCGTCTGTAACGAAAGTAATACTTGCAAGTGAGTACCTAGTAGCGTTATATCATCGTCATATCAACAACGATGAAAAGAACCTGGTTGAGGGAAGTTTGTTTTGATAGCGCACCCCCAGACCACAAAACCACCCATATTTTTGCGTAGTCAAGTGCGCGCGAACAGTCAAACAAAAGGCATGGAGCGAGGTTGAAAACGGAGAGTGAGACTTGGCATAGACGTTTTTTCCTCTCGCCTCACACTCCTCGCGCGTGGAGGCTCTGATGTTCGCGCCTTGAAAAAGCGATTTAAAGGAAAAACCGACTGTTTTGCAGTCTACTACACCGCTAACTTTCAACATTTCTGTTTGCTACAGGGCTCTGTGTTTTTCGCCCTCCCGGATGGCAATGGGTTGTTGTACAATGTGACAGGTAGCGCTGAGGGTCCGAAGCCAATTAACAACATACAAAGAGAGGTGCCTTGCAAAACGTTTTACACTGAAATGCTGACTGTCACTAACTGGCTACGGCGACCTCAAAGGTTTGTACAGTTCTTTGTCTTTTTCCACCTCTCGTGGGATTATGTCTTTGATTGTGTAGTAACAAGCTTGGCCCTATGGTTGATAATGAGTACAAAGTAGATTCTATAGATGGTGTACATTCTATTTATGCCTATGGAACAACTAGCTTTTACAGTGCGGTCATCGTTTTCTCGGCCGTGATAGGTTATGAACGGTTTCAAAAATGGACTCGCATATGTTAATTGGAAGTGGTAAAATTTAGAGGCCGATGCGTGGTATATCATTGCTGGCAACATCGTGCGGTGGTGCTCACAACGTAAGTGCAGCATTGGAGGCAACATTACCCATAGCCAATTACGGACATGTGTCACGAACAGTTGGTCTAACTTTTTGGTTAGGTTACCAACTTGTCACATAACTGAAGCAATGGATGGGTCATTCAGTTTAATACTGTTCAATTAAATATTGAGACATTCTGTTGATACTCGTATATTTCAATAGATTTCGCGTGATTATTGAGATGTTGAAACCTGACAAACCTGACAGTGCTACCACACTGAAAGGACTAGACTACATCGACGTGCCGGGTTTGTCCAAGCGTGATTACAGGTTGAACTTCTTTGCGCATAAAGAAGGAACTTTTAGTGCTAAGGTAAGGTCCATGTGCTTGTGTAGTATGCCTACCCTACCCCCATCTATCTTGATTTTTCTGTGCCATCTGGATAAACCACTGCCACTGACTGCTTTCAAGGCGTAGCGGTTTGCTTCTGGTATTATTAATTCCCTTTGATGTGATTACCCAAACGTTCATAAGTCCATTTTCTCTCAGTACTGACTGTTTCAACTTACTTTAACCTGCAGGTGATCTTCCGTAACGAGCACGGTGGGGAATATTTATTTTATTACGTGACGTTCAAGGCAGTGGCTCCTGGGGTGATGGCTACTATTGATCTGGCCACACCCATACGAAAAAGTACCTCCCATGTGGTGACGTTGCACAATCCTCTCAGTACCCCTGTGACATTCAACTCTCAGTGCTCCGTAGCAGACATACAGCTTCCTCCGAGTTTCACTGTGCCTCCTTTATCCGAGGTTTGTATCTCAGTCCATGTTGACGTGTTACTAGTGAGCAAAGACGTTTTTGAGCGATGCACGTCAAACCGGAAGTGGACTTTTTTCGTGCTTAACCAGTGGTTTTGCCCAAATTTTCGGGCAAATCGTCTCTAGAAGAGTGAAGGCACTTAGCAAGACAAGTTTGGTAACGTCAAGACACTTTACAATGAAAAAGACTTTACTTCCGGTTGACGCGCATCACTCAAAATGGCCTTTGCTCTCTACTGACACTTGTGATCGACCAGGGATCGCGGATGGGAGGTTGACGTACAAAACCCTGTAACATTACACCGTTAAATATCAACATGTGCCTGTCGGCATCCCCATTGTGACTTGTTGATTCTCTACCAAATTCTCTTATTTTCAGGTTTAATGCCTTGCTTTGAAAGTTGAGACTTGTGCATTTGTTTATTTCAACTTTATTTTCTTTGTATTTGTGTTTGGTTAATTATGATATTTTGTTAAACTGAGAAAAATAAGTGTTGATCAATTGATTGAATTGATCCGTAATATATGCCCCTGTCCCCTATTTTCGCAGGGGTAAGCCCAAATCCGCCTGCTTGGAAAAGCCACGGATAAGAGCAAAATACAGTTCAAACTTAAAAAGTTCGGAAAAAAAAAGAAAAATTGGATGCTTCTTCTGCTACAGCTTATCATTTACAGAATGTTTAGAACAACTTGAAATGACCTTGTAGTATATCAGATTTGTATTCTGAACTTACAGTTAGCATAAATCGTGATTCTGACCATGTCTCAAGTATTAATTAGTTTTTATTCATATGTCTTTCAGGGCTCGTGTATGTTTGAATATCTACCCCTGAAGGCCGGTGAATTGATTGGCCGACTGTCATTTAGCAGTTCAGAACTTGGTGTTTACCAGTATGATCTAAACCTGACGGCTACCCCTGCTGGTTCCGAGGCTCCTGTTCACTTCCGCACCGCTCTGGGCTCTAGTCAAAGTCAGACTTGTCGTTTTGTGAATTTTGCCAAGTCTAAAGTCGAGTACAGCTGTAAGGTAATAACAGTTTATGTTTTTGTTCGTGAGGCTTTTTGGCTGGTTACTGTCTTTTTTACTCTGAGGAAGTAGCCTGAGAAAGCAGGCGACATACTTCTAGTTTCCCGCGAAGTGAGGTCTGAGGAACGAGCCCAGAAATTCTTTACTGATGAGGTGTCACTACCCAGATCTGGGTAGTGCTTCTGATTGATCGTACCGCGAGGGAAATTTGCTTCAGAAAATCAGTGGCACTCCAGATCCCAGATCAGAAAGCAGCTGTTAGAAATAGCGTGTGCGTTTATACGTTTATGCGACTCGAGATAATGCGTTTGACGTCGAAAGGTTTTTTGCCGTGAAGACTAAAATACTATCCTTGCCGTTTTATTTAATTTACCATTTGACTGTATCATTGCTTGATAGAACTAGTTCCAAAAAGACCCATTACGTTAGCGAGACTATTTAAAATTGTATTTACTTGTGATTATTTTAACCTGAACGTGGCCGTATCAGGCAAATTGATAATTATGTGAATAAAATTGAAAGAGACTAGGTATCATATAAGTACTGAGTTTTCCCCTAGTCTTTGCTGCAACTGCGTATTTTTTTGCAACTCAACTTATAAATTAAACTGACCGCCTCAACGTTTCATTTCAGGTGGATAGTACGGACTTCCACGTGGAAAAGTCAATCACCGCTGCTTCGGCGTCGAGCGGCGGTACGGAAGTCGGCGTGGAAGTAACGTATGAACCGTCCCGTCTGGGTGATACCCGTGGGACGCTAACCGTCTTCTCGGCGGTTGGGGGTGAATACGTGTTTCCTCTGTTTGGTCACTGTAGCCCCCCTAAGCCTCAAGGACCGTACTCAATCAAGGCTGGCGCTACTACATCGATCCCATTCAAGAACGTGTTTTCACACACCACTCAGTTCACCTTTTGTGTGGATAGTCCTTGTTTTAATGTCAAGGCAAGCGAGAGTATTCGCGGAAAAAAGATCCACAATGTCATTGTCGGCTTTGAGGGAAACCATGGTGGTTCCAAGGCCCCGCGCATGGGAAGACTTATGGTCACGTGCCCCAGGAGTGCAGGTGGTGCTGGAAATGTCGCGTGGACTTTCTATTTAAAGGGTGTAACGCCGTGAATTTGATAAGTTTGTGTTTTAGTTTGAACAATGTTATGTAAATTTTTTGAAGTCTCTATCCGCAGACTTATTGTACAAGGAAAAGATTTTTTATTCTTATTTAATGTATCCAAAAACGTACTCCACTTTATATACAACTTATACGTAGTCAATGAACTAGACCTTGTTTGATATTGGGCGACCTTGTAGTAATTTATAGCCCGGCATCACTCGGCCCATACATAAAATTGTGTAGCTATAGAGTGCTGCAGAGTACTTGTTCTTAAAGAATAAACTATAAACGATGGTAACCAACTATTTTATCAGTGGCTAATTTAATAATCCTTATTATTTTGCCTTCAGTCGTATGACGGACAGTGTCGAAACTTCCCGAATTTGGGCAGTTACGCCTTTTAAAGCTATAGTGAACACTTGCACGACCACTACCGAGTTTTCCTTGTTGAAAGTGTCTCTGTCAAACGGGTTCAGAATCAACAGAATCAAAATTGCAAATGATCAAGCCTCACAAAAAGGGCTACAAAGGTTTTTGACGGAATTTTCCCCTTTTTTTCAGACAGATATTTTTAGGTGGATTTCCACTGTCGCGTATCCTTTACGTCCCTAAGCACGTAAATTTTACGCGCGTAAATTAAATAGAAACGTGACCTTCCATACATTGCCTCTATTTTTCGCGCGTGAAATTTAAGTGCGTACGCACCTAAAAATTACGTGATAGTGGAAAAGCACCCTTATGGAGGAGTGGTGGAGTAACATTATAGGCAGATTCAGCAAAGAAAACACAACATCAAATAAGATCGCGGAAGCGCGGGGAAAGGACTCAGGCCGGTCTTTTTAGTAGATCTACGCACGCCATCGTCACTGTTAAGTTGTCGTGTTGTCTTTGCTAAATCTGCCTAGCCTGCAAACAAACTCTCCATTTCGAATACACGCGAAAAGGCACGCGAGAGCCGCACGCAAAAGCTAGAGGCTGTGCTCTCAGGCTGAAGATGCCTGAAAAATAAAGTCGCCGTGACAACAAGGTGGTCGCCTTTTTTTCAAAGAATGGCCATTTGAGGCAAAGTTCCACCATATCCTAGAATGCTTGCAGTCCACCTTCTCTCTTGAAGTACGTCTAGTTCTCATCCCATCCCAGCCAAAGCGATCTCATCAACAGCATTACAATAATCCGCAGTCTTAACATTCTACATCAAAACACATCTTTGAGTAAGCGATAAAGGATCAATAAGTACATAAAAATTTCTCTCTTTCTTTTCTTGGGCTCCAGAAACATAATTCAGCGAATTTATCGAAGTTTAAGCTTTTCTATTGAGAAGTAGGTTCAAAAGTTTGCTGTTAAACTATGCCATAACACTTCAACTTCCCTAGAGTGTGGTAACCAACCTGTCTATTGTTATTAATATCTCCAAACCTTAGCTGTTTAACTGGAAGCTTGGTCTTATCAGTGAGAAGACCGATGTCTTCACGCCACACAAAGTCGTTTTTATCACAGTTACAACCAAAGCTGGGGTCTGGACATGAGTTGGTCATTCCGCATGCGCATTTATCATTGGCAGATGCTCCGCCCCAGTACCTCATCGTTTGAGAGTCAAGAGACACCCACCATCCATGTGGATTGCCGTTGAAAAGCAATACCGATCCCTGACACTCATATTTGATAAACTGTTCACAGTGTGAAGAGACTCTGGTGAGACTCGCAAGCTGAGAGAGACTCGCTCCTGAGTAGTGAATGTCACGCGAGTAACTACCTTGAGCGCCCCAACCACTGACCTGATGCACATATGTTCTGCTTTCACTGTCGTGACTGATCACTGTCACGCCAACACCACTCTTGTCAGTCATGTCACAGAAAGCTGTAAAAGGTGCCAGACCTCCTTCACCATCTGGATCTATGACGTAATTACCACTTTTACTGCTGACGTATTTCTTTATCATCGAACAGGAAGGTGTTGAAACTTGAACACTAATCTTCACTTTAGTTTCTACTGTCGTCAAGGCGTTAGTCGCTTTACAGGTGTAAGAACTCTCGTGTGATTTCTTGATGTTCCGGAGAATCAGTGTACCGTTCTGCAATACGTCAGAGTCGACAGGAAGTGAAGATTTTCCGTCCTTTGTCCATGTAATTATAGTTTTGAGATCACTTTCAGCTAAACACGGCAGAGGGACTGTAGCTAAATCTATCATTGGGGTCAATTCTTGGGGAGGACGAACTTTGAACCGCAGTGGAGAAAATATTGTCAGTTGAACAGTATCTGTTTTTGACCCCATTATATTCTTTGTGTTACACAGGTATGTTCCACCGTCTGTTTTTGCCACATTGTAAAGTTTCAGGGTACCATTAACCACCTCAGCTCTGTCTTTGGGCAAACAACCAAATGATTTAGACCACGTGATTCTAGGTTGCGGCTGACCGCTAGCAGTGCAGGCGATGGTAACGTTTTGTTTCTCTTCCGCCATTAATCTTTTGGACGACAAGAAAGTTTTGGGAGCATCTAAAAGGAAACATAAAAATCTGTTTACATTTCAATAGACATTCAGTATTAAATATGTGATCTCAAGATTTGGTATGACGCTGCTCTGACACTGCTGGTCTTTAACCCACGGTATACTACAGTTCGATGCAATTGGGTCTTCAAGCTAAGCACTCCCCCTTAAATGGTATGGTCGCTAATTGCCCTTTTAATCCATAGTGCTTTGTTATCTACGGCATGCATTCCGTAGCGTTCGTTATTGAGTAATACGTATACAACACAATAAAGAACCAAGACTCGAACTCGTGATGATCAGGCTTCTAGCGGTAATACTGAATCACGCTATCAACAAGCGGCCCCTGCGGAATACGGTTTTCCTGTAGTAAGTGAGGCGTGCCTAAAAAAAATTATTAAGATCTGGAAACTAAGAAGAACTCAAAAACTTGATTTAAAATAAACAAAACTCACAGTGAACAGTTAGTTTCGCTGTAGCGTTGACGCTTCCTAGCAAATTCTCACCCCTGCAGCTGTAAAATCCTTCGTCTTCTGGTCTAACATTATTTACAATCAGAGCACCACTGGACTCTACCACGTGACGTCCCACCGGAAGAGATGAGTTCTGCTTAGACCACGTGACATACATGTGCAGGCGGCGGATTAGTGTCCACTGTACATTTGAGGATGGCTGTCTGACTTTCATTGACAGTTGTTTCAACAGGAGCCTGCAGCAGAGAAGGAGCAGAGATAGACTTACCCGGCTCACCTTTAATGCCTTTTTTACCGGGCGGCCCGACAGGTCCCGCGGGACCCGGGTAACCTGGCGGTCCTATATCACCTTTCACGCCCATTGCTCCTCGAGGTCCTATTGGGGGGTCTTCCTCGAGTTCCAGGTCTTCCCCGTCGTCCTCGGCTCCCTTTTGGTCCTGATCGACAGAGCGTTTCATCTTTGGCACAGACTAGTTTCTGCAGCAGTCGAAGTTCTTCCTTGATCAGCAGTTTTACTTCAGCCGCTGTTTGGACTGACTTTTGCTGGGAATTAGTTGGTGATGAACGCTTCAGTCTTGAGCTGTTCTCATGATCACCTTGAAAACAAGATTGAAGAGACTCCCTTAAAATCGTTCACAGTCTTTATCGGTGACACTACACTCACGTGAAAGCGTGTCGTGCAAAAAAGGAGTCCACTGGGCTGTGAGTCCCCTACGCCCATTGAAATTAAAAGAATGACACAAAAACTTTTACTAGAAAGTATAACAGCAAGGATATCGGCGTTAATTAAGCCAATAACATGTTGTTCAATTGCTAACAGTATTGTGCTCAAAATATCTATAGAAAAATAGAACTGATAGGTCAAAATAAACATTTTTATAACCCGGAAATCAGCTTGATCATGGACCTGTGGTTTCCGTAATTTATTGGTCAGTTCAAAATTGTGTAACAAGAAGGATGTCAACGTTAATTAAGTCAACAACGAGTTGTCCACAGTGTCTTTAACATTTCTCTGCTTTGAATATGTGTTGAAAGAAAGAATGCAACTAATAGACCAAATTATATCTTTTCATAACCCGGAAATCAGCTTGATCTCGGACCTGTGGTATCATCTAATATGCCTGCTAAGAAGGATAAAAGATTAACCTAACATTCCTAAAAATAAACAAAGGATCTTTCCCATGTTTGATATATTTTGTGTATTACCAGAGGCGATGTGTCAGTTCTTGTATACTGACCATTAACTAAAATATTGCAATAGTCACTAGTTCGATCTCGGCTTGGAGGGTTCTCGGCGGAGGTGGGGGATACTTGTGCCGCAGATTAAAACCTTTTTTAAATGTATTAGGCAGATCAGCTTTTAAAATTTAGAGGTACTGAGATTTTAAGCACCAAACTAAAGAACCACGAGCAAGGCAGAATCCCCTATTCAAGAACTGATCGAGCACCTCCAAAGCCATACCCTATCCCACAGCACGTGTAGTATACAGTGAGTATGTAGTCCGAATAAGGGAGTACTCCTCTCCAGGAGTGAGTGTAAAGATGATTACCTTAGCTTACCTTACCTTGTGCCTCGTACCAAGTACCTTCTGAGTTCCTGTCTTTATTTATTTGCCATCTTTCGTAATTCTGTTGTACTTCCTGGAGGACTTCTTTCTTCATCTGGTCACAGAATGTTGCTGACTGTGATATCACTCGATGATGTTCTTGAAGTTTGAGTTCCACGTGAATTAGTGCCATACAACATACAACAGACAAGAGAAAGCCTGAAGTGCAACAGAAGCTGTTGAATTTTGTTTCTCTGTTTGTTTTTTTCTCTTCTTTACTTTGTGCTTTCATCGCTGAACTCCAACGAATACACTCAAATTTTGAATATTAAGCGCAGTGGGACAGTAAGTGCGTGAACGTGAATACTTAGTAATACGAAAAGAACAAATCAGTGACTAGTGACAGTCGTCATCACATGAGATTTAAAAATATAAGACCTGAAAGAAGCGATTCATCGCTACAGGAAGTAAATACTACTCCTTAACCCTAAATGATGTCATTGGCGCTTCAGTATGAGGGGAAGTAACATTCAATTACAATGTTTACAAAGAAAACTGAGATGTACCTGGTTCCTTGGAGCAAAGGGGTGAGCACGTGACCTGAGAGAGTTACAGTTTAGAGGGAAACAGTTTGTCTCGTTTTATAAGAGCTGTTGCGAAGAGCAAAATATCCTAAGCAATGTCAGCCAGCAACTATGTTTTATGTATGCNCCAAGTACCTTCTGAGTTCCTGTCTTTATTTATTTGCCATCTTTCGTAATTCTGTTGTACTTCCTGGAGGACTTCTTTCTTCATCTGGTCACAGAATGTTGCTGACTGTGATATCACTCGATGATGTTCTTGAAGTTTGAGTTCCACGTGAATTAGTGCCATACAACATACAACAGACAAGAGAAAGCCTGAAGTGCAACAGAAGCTGTTGAATTTTGTTTCTCTGTTTGTTTTTTTCTCTTCTTTACTTTGTGCTTTCATCGCTGAACTCCAACGAATACACTCAAATTTTGAATATTAAGCGCAGTGGGACAGTAAGTGCGTGAACGTGAATACTTAGTAATACGAAAAGAACAAATCAGTGACTAGTGACAGTCGTCATCACATGAGATTTAAAAATATAAGACCTGAAAGAAGCGATTCATCGCTACAGGAAGTAAATGCTACTCCTTAACCCTAAGTGATGTCATTGGCGCTTCAGTATGAGGGGAAGTAACATTCAATTACAATGTTTACAAAGAAAACTGAGATGTACCTGGTTCCTTGGAACAAAGGGGTGAGCACGTGACCTGAGAGAGTTACAGTTTAGAGGGAAACAGTTTGTCTCGTTTTATAAGAGCTGTTGCGAAGAGCAAAAATATCCTAAGCAGTGTCAGCCAGCAACTATGTTTTATGTATGCACTCATGTCTCATATACGTGGGATAGCTACAAGGCAACTTTTTTCCACATTTAAAGGAAGTTGTTGGTGTGTGTAGAATTGCCATTGTGCCGAATATCAGGGGAATATTGAACTAAAATGCAAATCCCCTACTGGACACAGAATGTCCCAGATGTCTTCGGTTTTTTTAAAAAGGACTGAAAAGCAGTTTAGTGACTATTTATTTTTGTAGCCATCATGACTGAATACCGTGGGTCTGCTATTTTAATTTGTAGCCCATTGCCAGCATTGCGAACTAAAAATTCTTTTGAAATAATACGATCGACCACCAACTCCGTTGACAAGTCGTACGAACTGGGTGTATATGAATTCACGCAGCACCTGGTTATAGAACATTATTGCGATGACATGAATTTATCTTTTCCGGGACGGTTCAGAAAGATTGTAAGAGGGAGTGGCAAATCTCAAGATAAATAATTCACAGAAATGCTTTCACGCAATCTTCCCTGCAACCTCTTTTATTTTTTGTATTTTCTCGTCTGTGACAACTCATGTTTCTATTGATAAAGGAATTTAACCTCTTGATGAGAGTGACTGTCACAACCAAATACGTCTTACGATTAAACACTTTATCATAAGAAGACTTACTCTCTTCACAATATTATTCTTCTTTTAACTTCTAAGCTTTCTTCTTCAACTTAAACTTCATTGATCTTCAACAGTTCTGTACTTCTTTCTTTCTCTCACTTTCTCTCTATCTATAATTACTGCATACTGAACCTATTCCTTAGCAACTTGCTATTTATTTGCTTGGTCATTGGCCCGAATAGGTTTACATCAATAATAAGGCGTAGGATGTATTTGCCAACAAAACGAGCCACAAGACGAATGCTTCTTTTAGTTAATTACTAAAAGGGTCGAAATTTTCATTTGAAAGGTGAGTATCTTCCGAGGGACGTCAAGTTTGGAGATAAGATGTCCCTCTCTTAAAAGATCACATTAAATATTTATGTTTCTTCATGAAAAGCTTATTAGTAAATTGGTTATTCATCATGTTTCATTTTTAGAGGTAAACACTTAGAATGTTCTAAAACCTTAAAAGCCTATTGATCGGATATTTATCGAACTTTCATTAACTTTCCATATATCTTTAAACTCGGGGAGATTAGTCCTGTAACAGTATGTCTAATGTTGATGACAACAGCAACACCTTTATTTCAGTATTGCCACGTGAGTACATGGTATTACCTACATTATTTGTTATAAATCTTAAATCAAAATACAGGCTATAATTGAAGGACAAGTTTTTGTCTATACAGTCGACTCCCGATAACTCGAACCTTCAAGGGAAATCGAAAAAAGGTTCGAGTTATCGGGAGTCCGAAGAAAATAGACGAGAGTAAGGTAAAAAACAGTTTTTACTGCACAGTAAACATTCTAATCACATTTAATTGTAGAAATGTCAAGTGAAAATTAAAAGATACTTTTAGATTATAAATCAGAACGTGACGTAACAAAACATAGCCTAAATAGAGCATGCGTTTACTGTTTTGAGAAGAAAAGTTGCTTCACGTTAGGTTGCTCAGGCCACTTACGGCATGACTACCTAATTAAATATGTATATTTTAGTAAATGCTATTTAGACCGGTTTGCTTCCATCAGTGCTCCTGAAAAGTGAACTACGAATGTGGCTCAACGAAAAAAACACGTAAAACGTGATTTCAAATAACACGTGACATCGCTTCGTCAATGACGTCATAAAACACGTTTTCCTAAACGGGGAAGGGTTGCAAACCTTAATGTTAGGAATTTTCACTACCAAAATGTTGCATAAACAGTGTAAATCGTACATTCGCCTTGTATGATTGGAAATGTTATTCATCCTATTAGCTATTTAACTTATTAATAAGTCTCGTGACCTTTTTCCCTTTATTTACCGGTTCCTATATAACGTAAACACACATACAAGGCGAATTTATAAGAACCTTTTTAATGTACCTAAAAGAACTTTTTGCTCTTTCATTATCCTTTCCCCATTTTAGAGTAAATATTTTGACCGTTAATTCTCAATTATCAGTCACGTGACGAACGTTTGAGCTTCTAAAATGCACTCAGATTGCTAAGGCCATTAAGCTACATTTGTAGTTCAATTTTCAGGATCATTGATAGAAGCAAACCGTTTTAAATAGCATTTTATCAAAATATGCATATTTAATTAGACAGTCATGCCTTAAGTGGCCTGAGTGTGACAATCACCATCAGCCTCCATTAGTAAACTATACTCCTACAACACGTCAATAGGAAATCCAAAATTCAATGTTTCGGACGCTAGTAGACGGCTTTTTCCCCGACTTTTTAAGGGCTCAAAACATGGTTCGAGTTATCGAGGGTAAAATTATATAGAAAATGACCTGAGGGGAAACGAAAATTGGTTCGAGTTAGCGGGAGGTCGAGTTTTCGAGGAGTTCGAGTTACCAAGGGTAAAATTACAGTGAATGTATGATGGAAATCCAGGGGAAATCGATTTTGGTTCGAGTTAGCGCGAGGTTCGAGTTAGCGAGGGTTCGAGTTATCGGGACTCGACTGTATTCCATACGTGAATGACAAACAGTGGTCGTGATGACAACGGGTGGTCGCGTTAACAGGCTGGCCGTGACACTGACACTATATATTAGAAACCTGGTTGTACGAGTAGTTAACGAGTCAATGGCAAGTTTATTAACTTATGAAGTTTGCCTCTAAACTATGCCATAGCACTTAAACTTTCCCAGAGTGTGGTAACCAAAATCAGAGTATCTGTTACCCATATCTCCAAACCTAAGTTGTTTTACTGGAAGCTTGGTCTTATCGGTGAGAAGTCCGCTATCTTCACGCCACACATGATCCTGTTTATCACAGTTACAACCAAACCTGGAGTCTGCACATGAGTTGGTCATTCCGCATGCGCATTTATTATTGCCAGATGCTCCGCCCCAGTACCTCATCTTCTGAGAATCACGTGAAACCCACCATCCATATAGATCGCCGTTGTTGAGCAATACCGATCCATGACACTCATATTTGATAACCTGTTCACAGTGTAAGGAGACTCTGGTGAGACTTGCCAGCTGAGACAGACTCGCTCCTGTGTAATGAATGTCACGCGAGTAACAACCTCGAGCGCCATAACCACTGACCTGATGCACATATGTTCTGCTTTCACTGTCGTGACTGATCACCGTCACGCCAACTCCACTCTTGTCAGTCATGTCACAGAAAGCTGTAAAAGGTGCCAGACCTCCTTCACCATCTGGATCTATGACGTAATTACCACTTTTACTGCTGATGTATTTCTTTATCATCGAACAGGAAAGGGCTGCAACTGGTGCATTGATTTTCACATCAGCTTCTATTGTCGTCAGGGCGTTAGTCGCCCTACAGGTGTAAGAACCCTCGTGTGATTTCTTGATGTTGCGAAGAATTCGAGAGCCATTCTGCAATACGTCAGAGTCCACAGGAAGTGAAGATTTGCCGTCCTTTGTCCTTGTAATTGAAGGTTTGAGATCACTTTCGGCTAAACACGGCAGAGGGACTGTAGCCAAATCTATCATTGGGGTCAATGCTTGGGGAGGACGAACTTTGAACCGCAGTGGAGAAAATATTGTCATTTGAGCCGTATCTGTTTTTGACCCCATAATATTCTTTGTGTTACACAGATATGTTCCACCGTCTGTTTTTGCTACGTTGTAAATTTTAAGGGGACCATTAACCACCTCAGCTCTGTCTTTAGGCAAACTTCCGAATGATTTAGACCACGTGATTCTCGGTTACGGCTGACCGCTAGTAGTGTGGGCGATGGCGACGTTTTGTTTCTCTTCCGCCATTAATCTCTTGGACGACAGGAAAGTTTTTGGGGAGCATCTAAAAGGAAACATAAAAATCTGTTTACATTTCAATAGACATGCGGTATTAAATATGTGATCTCAAGATTTGGTATGACGCTGCTCTGACACTGCTGGTCTTTAACCCACGGTATACTACAGTTCGATGCAATTGGGTCTTCAAGCTAAGCACTCCCCCTTAAATGGTATGCTCGCTAATTGCCCTTTTAATCCATAGTGCGTTTTTATGTACGGCATTCCGAAGCGTTCGTTATTGAGTAATACGCATGCAACACAAAAAAGAACCAAGACTCGGCGTCGAGATGATCAGGCGTCTAGCGGTAATACTGAATCACGCTATCACCAAGCGGCCCCTGCGGAATACGATTTTCCTGTTTTTCCGTTAGTAAGTGAGGCGTACCTAAAAGAATTTATCAACATCTAGAAACTAAGGAGAACATAAAAACTTGATTTAAAATAAACAAAACTTACACTGAACAGTTAGCTTCGCTATAGCGTTGACGCTTCCCAGCAAATTTTCAGCCCTGCAGCTGTAAAATCCTTCGTCTCTGGCTCTAACGTCATTCACAATCAGAACGCCATATTTAATAACCCAAAAATCATCTTAATCTTGGCGTGGTATCAACTAATATGCCTCTCAAGGAGGATAAAAGGTTAACCCAACTTTGGCAAACAGCCATTAGTTAAGGAGAAACGATGGATCTTTCCACGATTGTTTCCAACTATGTTAATGAAATATACAATGTTTTGTGTTTATGAGCTGTACTGCCACATGCGATACCAGTCATATTGAGACACTGTTAACTTATCTATTGGTTAGTTCGATCCCTGATCGGATGGGTAAATTGAGAAGACAAGAGAGGATGGGGAAGCTTCCGTCAATTTAGAATAGGTTATTGTGCCGTACATTAAAACTTTTTTTAATTGGAAGTTCAGCTTTTACATATTTCATTTTTTGGCACCCAACTAAAAAACACGTGCAATACAGATGAAAAATATCCCCCATTCAAGATCTATCCCACAGCGCGTTCAGTACGGTAGTCTAGATAAGGGAGTCCTCCCCCCGGAGTTCGAAACTGTGACTGATCACATTACCTTGTGCCTTGTGCCAAGTACCTTCTGAGTTCCTGTTTGCCATCTTTCGTAATTCTGTTGTACCTTCTGAAGGATTTCCTTCTCCATCTGGCCACACAATGTTGCTGACTGTGATATCACTCGATGATGTTCTTGAATTCTGAGTTCCACGTGAATTAATGCGATACAACACACAACAGACAACAGCAAGCCTGAAGTGCAACAGAAGCTGTTGAATTTTGTTTTTCTGTTTGTCTTTTTCTCTTCTTTGCTTTGTGCTTTCATCGCTTAACTCCAATCGTAGGAACGAATTCCCTCAAATTTTGAATCTTAAGCGCAGTGGCACACAGAGTACGTGCGTGAGGGTGAATACTTAGTAATACCAAAAAAAAAAAAAATAAGTGACTAGTGACAGTCGTCATCACATAACTCGTTTTAAAAATATAAGAAGTGAAAAAAAAGCGATTCATCGTTACAGGAAGTAAATACTACTCCTTAATCTTAAGTGATGTCATTGGCGCTTCAGTATCGGAGGGGAAGTAACAATGTTTACATAGAAAACTGAGATGTTGCTGGTTCCGGGAAGCAAAAGGGTGAGCACGTTACCTGAAAGAGTTATTGAGTTTCACCCGCGAGTTTCACAAACAGTTCACTGGAGAACAGTTCGTACCGTTTTATACGAGCTGTTGCGAAAAGCAAAAATATCCTAAGCAATCTCAGCCAGCAACTATNAAAAAAAAAAAAATCAGTGACTAGTGACAGTCGTCATCACATAACTCGTTTTAAAAATATAAGAAGTGAAAAAAAAGCGATTCATCGTTACAGGAAGTAAATACTACTCCTTAATCTTAAGTGATGTCATTGGCGCTTCAGTATCGGAGGGGAAGTAACAATGTTTACATAGAAAACTGAGATGTTGCTGGTTCCGGGAAGCAAAAGGGTGAGCACGTTACCTGAAAGAGTTATTGAGTTTCACCCGCGAGTTTCACAAACAGTTCACTGGAGAACAGTTCGTACCGTTTTATACGAGCTGTTGCGAAAAGCAAAAATATCCTAAGCAATCTCAGCCAGCAACTATGTTTTACGTATGCACTCATGTTTCATATACGCGGAATCTCCGCACCCATCAGAGCCTTTTCAAAAGATAGCTAAGGCAACTTTTTTACACATTTAAAGGAAGTTGGTGTTTGTAGAATTGCCATTGTGCCGAATATCAGGGGAATATTGAACTTAAATGCAAATTCCCTACTGGACACAGAATTTCCCAGATGTCTTAGGGTTTTTTTGAAAAGGAGTGAAAAGCAGTTTAGTGACTATTTATTTTTGTAGCCATTATGATTGAATACCGTGGGTCTTCTATTTTTGTAGCCCATTTCCAGCATTGCAAACTAAAAACTCTTTTAAATAATACGATCGACCCCCCCACTCCCTCGACGAGTCGTACAAACTTGGTGTATACGAATTCACGCAGCACCTGGTTATAGAAAATTATTACAATGGCATGAACGTATCTTTTCACGGACGGATCGGAAAAATTGTGAGAGGGACTGGCAAATCTCAAGATAAACAATTCACAGAAATGCTTCCACCCAATCTTCCCTGTAACCTCTTTTATTTTTTGTATTTTCTCGTCATCACTCGTGTTTCTAATGGTATGTCTAATGCTGGATGACAATCAGTGGTCGTGATGACAATGGCTGGTCGCGTTAACAGGCTGGCCGTGACACTGACGCTATATATTAAAAACCTGGTTGTACGAGTAGTTAACGAAGCAATGGCAAGTTTATGAAATTATGAAGTTTGCCTCTAAACTATGCCATAGCACTTAAACTTTCCCAGAGTGTGGTAGCCATACTCCGAGGAACTATCACCAATATCTCCAAACCTAAGTTGTTTAACTGGAAGCTTGGTCTTATCAGTGAGGAGACCGCTGTCTTCACGCCACACATAGTCGTTTTTATCACAGTTACAACCATTGCTGGGGTTTGAACATGAGTTGGTCATTCCGCATGCGCATTTATCATTGGCAGATGCTCCGCCCCAGTACCTCATCTTTTGAGAGTCACGTGACACCCACCATCCATATAGATTGCCGTTGTAGAGCAACACCGAATGATAACACTCATATTTGATAAACTGTTCACATTGTAAAGAGACTCTGGTGAGACTTGCCAGCTGAGAGAGACTCGCTCCTGTGTAATGAATGTCACGCGAGTAACTACCTTGAGCGCCATAACCACTGACCTGATGCACATATGTTCTGCTTTCACTGTCGTGACTGATCACCGTCACGCCAACTCCACTCTTGTCAGTCATGTCACAGAAAGCTGTAAAAGGTGCCAGACCTCCTTCACCATCTGGATCTATGACGTAATTACCACTTTTACTGCTGATGTATTTCTTTATCATCGAACAGGAAAGGGCTGCAACTGGTGCATTGATTTTTACATCAGCTTCTATTGTCGTCAGGGCGTTAGTCGCCCTACAGGTGTAAGAGCCCTCGTGTGATTTCTTGATGTTCCGCAAAACCAATGTACCATTCAGCAAAACATCAGTGTTCTGAGGAAGAGAGGAGCTTTCCTTCTTTGTCCAAGTTATTGTAGTTCTCAAATCGCTCTTGACCACGCAAGGCAGATAGACAGTTGAACCAAACTGAGCAGGAGTCACTTCTTGAGGGGGGTAAACTTTAAACCGCAGTGGAGAGAATATTGTGAGTTGTGCTGTACTTGTTTCCGATCCCATAATATTCTTTGCGTTGCATAGGTATATTCCACCGTCTGTTTTTGCCACATTGTAAATTTTCAGAGTGCCATTAACCACCTCAATTCTGTCTTTAGGCAAACTTCCGAATGGCTTGAACCACGTGACTCTCGGTTGCGGCTGACCGCTAGCAGTGCAGGTAATGGTGACGTTTTGTTTTTCTTCCGCCATTAATCTTTTGGATGACAAGAAAGTTTTGGGAGCATCTAAAAGGAAACATAAACATCAGTCTACCTTTTAATGGAAAGTACTAAGATTTAGTTTGTTTATGGTGTTTAACTGCGGCTACAGTCTGTCTTCAACCCGTCCACGTTTTTCAGATGCAATAGGTTCGTCAAGGAATCCCCTTTAAATGGGACGTTCGTTACTGAATTGCACTTGAAATCCTTGTGCTTTTTTGTGTTCGGCATTGCGAACTGTTCGTTATTGACACCTTTCACAGTGTTCGTTATTGAGTAATACAACACAATAGGATTGGTTAAAATAAAGGACCAAAACTAGAAACCCTGATGATCAGGCTCAACGCAGTAATCAAACTGTATCACGCGGCTCCTATGTACAAGATTTTCCTCTTTTTCCTATAGTGAACAAACTGCTTGCGTAAAAATATTTAAACAGCTCAAAACTAAGAACAACTCAGAAGTTTCGTTAAATAACAAGCACAACTCACACTGGACAGTAAGTTTCGCTGACGCGTTGACGCTTCCCAGCAAATTTTCAGCCCTACAGCTGTAAAATCCTTCGTCTTCAGGTCTAACGTTGTTCACAATCAGAGTGCCACTTACCAAAAAAAAAAAAAATCAGTGACTAGTGACAGTCGTCATCACATAACTCGTTTTAAAAATATAAGAAGTGAAAAAAAAGCGATTCATCGTTACAGGAAGTAAATACTACTCCTTAATCTTAAGTGATGTCATTGGCGCTTCAGTATCGGAGGGGAAGTAACAATGTTTACATAGAAAACTGAGATGTTGCTGGTTCCGGGAAGCAAAAGGGTGAGCACGTTACCTGAAAGAGTTATTGAGTTTCACCCGCGAGTTTCACAAACAGTTCACTGGAGAACAGTTCGTACCGTTTTATACGAGCTGTTGCGAAAAGCAAAAATATCCTAAGCAATCTCAGCCAGCAACTATGTTTTACGTATGCACTCATGTTTCATATACGCGGAATCTCCGCACCCATCAGAGCCTTTTCAAAAGATAGCTAAGGCAACTTTTTTACACATTTAAAGGAAGTTGGTGTTTGTAGAATTGCCATTGTGCCGAATATCAGGGGAATATTGAACTTAAATGCAAATTCCCTACTGGACACAGAATTTCCCAGATGTCTTAGGGTTTTTTTGAAAAGGAGTGAAAAGCAGTTTAGTGACTATTTATTTTTGTAGCCATTATGATTGAATACCGTGGGTCTTCTATTTTTGTAGCCCATTTCCAGCATTGCAAACTAAAAACTCTTTTAAATAATACGATCGACCCCCCCACTCCCTCGACGAGTCGTACAAACTTGGTGTATACGAATTCACGCAGCACCTGGTTATAGAAAATTATTACAATGGCATGAACGTATCTTTTCACGGACGGATCGGAAAAATTGTGAGAGGGACTGGCAAATCTCAAGATAAACAATTCACAGAAATGCTTCCACCCAATCTTCCCTGTAACCTCTTTTATTTTTTGTATTTTCTCGTCATCACTCGTGTTTCTAATGGTATGTCTAATGCTGGATGACAATCAGTGGTCGTGATGACAATGGCTGGTCGCGTTAACAGGCTGGCCGTGACACTGACGCTATATATTAAAAACCTGGTTGTACGAGTAGTTAACGAAGCAATGGCAAGTTTATGAAATTATGAAGTTTGCCTCTAAACTATGCCATAGCACTTAAACTTTCCCAGAGTGTGGTAGCCATACTCCGAGGAACTATCACCAATATCTCCAAACCTAAGTTGTTTAACTGGAAGCTTGGTCTTATCAGTGAGGAGACCGCTGTCTTCACGCCACACATAGTCGTTTTTATCACAGTTACAACCATTGCTGGGGTTTGAACATGAGTTGGTCATTCCGCATGCGCATTTATCATTGGCAGATGCTCCGCCCCAGTACCTCATCTTTTGAGAGTCACGTGACACCCACCATCCATATAGATTGCCGTTGTAGAGCAACACCGAATGATAACACTCATATTTGATAAACTGTTCACATTGTAAAGAGACTCTGGTGAGACTTGCCAGCTGAGAGAGACTCGCTCCTGTGTAATGAATGTCACGCGAGTAACTACCTTGAGCGCCATAACCACTGACCTGATGCACATATGTTCTGCTTTCACTGTCGTGACTGATCACTGTCACGCCAACTCCACTCTTGTCAGTCATGTCACAGAAAGCTGTAAAAGGTGCCAGACCTCCTTCACCATCTGGATCTATGACGTAATTACCACTTTTACTGCTGATGTATTTCTTTATCATCGAACAGGA